CAAGCGCGACGTTTGGCATTGTTATACCACGCACTTACAAGCAGCGCGCGTGGCCTGACAACTAACGTGTTAATTAATTGTCGCCTAGTTTCATAAAATTAGACTTTTCGCGGATTCTCGTGTTCCGCGACACGAGAAGTCATAATAAAAGAGAAAGTTTTCAAACATACAGAAGGCATGGATAGGGAAATTCCGATGCCGAATTGTAGACTGACTGTGCGATGCAGGATCGTCCGAAGCCAAGGATTGTCAAAGGAAATCGGTTTCCTGATTATTGGTGGTTGACAGGACCGAGGGTGGGCCTTCGGTCCGCGAGTCAGTTGCCGCGAAAAAAAGGAGGAACGTCTTCCACGAGCAGGTCCGCTGGTAGAGGAAACCTCTCCCTCAGAGGAGGTTGCGTTACTTTATGGCTTCGAAAATCGTGAGATCGCACATGCCCTGGTCCTTTATTTTGCAAGCCAAAATCCTAAGTACTGTTGCCTGGTTTCGAAAATTAGTGGCTAAAAAATACCTGGTGTCCGTTGAGCCGAGGAAAATAAAGAAGAGTTTGTAAAGTATATTGAAAATGGAGAAAATAGAAAGTAGCGAAATTGAAATAAAACAGCAATTAGGATCTGGCTGCCAGAAAATCGTAACGGGTCTTCTGGGTCTGGGGTTTGTCCCAGGATTTAACAATCCTGAACACCGAATAATAAACTAGACCTGACTGCTAGACCTGCCGCCTGGCTCCACGCAGGATCACTTCAACTATCGAATGATAAATGCCTAAGCTCTAAATGTCAGTCATTCTCCATTCTCAGATACTTCTACGATATTGTCGATATTTTGTATACAACGACGAATGCAAAATTACTAATCTCACCTTAGGAATGTAGCGTGTAAGTGTTCAATCGATACCATATCTATCGACTTGCAAACAAATGATATCAATCTTGTAACAGTAATACGTATTATCGATAAAGTTTTATAGCTATTGTATTCTTCTTACGCTTATGCCTATGACCTCATGCTAGAATGACAAATACGTTGGTAATACGATGTTCTGTATACATCTCATGTATATTTTACATGTTCATTGCATATCGTACCTGTATAAATTTCAACGGTCTAGCGTTGACAAGCGACACAAAGGATTAACGTATACACAGATTATATAGCACGTGATAAACAAAATCCATGATAACGTTGTTTAATCCACTGGAACCAGTCTAACGCGTTTATCGAACGAAGAACGTTTTAGTACTTCGGAAAAAGAGTTTAAATGAGCAGGAATTGGTGGAATAATTAATCGATGGGTCGATCTGAAATTTATTTGTGAAGAAAACACGGATAACGAACATCTTTCAGACTTAATTTCGTAAAACTTTATGATGTAAAAAAAGGACTGGATTTGTTTAAAGAATCAGAACGTAACTTAACTCAAAATGATCCTTCAACGATGCGCAGTGCAAAATTTCAAAGAGAATTTCAAAATTACTCGGCCCCATATAAAGAGGAAAATAACCTAAGTAGAAATTAGTTTTTTCGATGGAACTAATAGATAATCACTCCGAATAACATCTAGTTGTAATAATACAGGTACAAATCGAAAGAAATGATTTATTCGAAAATACCCGAGGCTGTACTAGACTGTGCCTTTTATTTCAAATTAAGCCTGTACTTGTTCGTAATTGACAATTAAGGTGTCGACTCCGTTCATTTCGTTGCATTCTATCACACGAATATGCATTTTCACTTTCATTTGAAATAAAGATAAGAAATGAATGAAAGAAGGAAAAATACTTACTTGAAATAATATAACAGGTAAATTTATTTGCAAATAATTTCTTTATTACAAATATAGACATTCTTTAAAGCGAAGCAAAGTAGAATTTGGAGATATATATGAGCTTAATATACAAGATACTACACGCTTGTCCCGAACCGCTTGCTCACCACCGAGTCCTCAAAGTCACTTCTAGACTAATTCGAAATCAACTTTGAACTGACTTCTCGCAATTGACAATTCGTTGTACCAAAGGTGTTTCTTTTATAAATACATTGCGTAATCGATGTCTCTGCGTTTTGTAGCTACTTGGAAAGATCGGGAGCGTTCGATGGCCAGTGAGAAATGGCGCACAGCGGTGCGTGTCGTGAATCACGGTTCTAGAAAGATCAGGACCACCGTGAGCGTTCCGTGACGCGCGCCACCCTGTCGAGACAAAAAACGATCGAGCGCTCGGATATAAAATGTGTATTCCCGATCACCAAAGCAATCATTTTTCTTTGAATTGCATTTACTACGTTTAGCCAGCTTTCTTTAAATCGTGAATGAGAAAAGGTTACTATAGCGGCATTAAACGACTTATCTCGAAAGGTAAGTAAATATGCAAACCGATTTTCTAAATTTCATACTATAGTTTTGAGAAACATCTCATAAAATTTCAATTGGAGTAATTGGAGTATGTTAGTTTACCTTCTCGTTATCAAAAGACAAGGCATTACATACCCGTGATGTATATTACTTACACCTTACAAACGATCAAACATGTCATGCTCTTCCGAGTTAATCGATATTTTTTAGAAAAAAATATTTACTTTCCCTGATGAAATCTTACATAAAATGTCGTACATAAAATTTTACCTGGTTACTACCAGATTGACAAGGGAATAACTAGCAATCGGTACCATTTCTCCCATTCTTTTCTCTTTTCTCTTTTCTACAATGTGCTACACGTTTTGTAGCACAAACGCGTTGTATCTTCGAAACACTTCCCCTCATTTTTATAATATCATTTTCGTACATGCTGGTGATTCGTCTAGGCAACCTCCGGCAGCGTAAGCGTTCACGCTTTTGCTTGTCATTTTTTCATGCGAAATTATCAATAATTGTAAAAAAATACAAATTATCAACTATGGCGCAAAGGAATAGAACAAAGGAACGAATGATATATTCAATTGTATCGTTTTCGTTATTATGATTCCGTACTTTCTCTATTATTGGCCTTTGTCTTTCTTTTTCCTACATTATTATGATTTTCAATATTCAAACTACTATTTTCCATCGTCTTTCAGATGCCATTATAATTTTGAAAATTTGTTAATTCTTCATTCCCATTCGTTAAATTCTTCATTCTCTTTAAATGTATTCTAAAAGTTACGAATGTTTACTTTAATGGTTATTTTCACTTCTGCTTCTTTTACCTTATAGGATTCTATATGATAAACTGAAGCTTGACGGGGGGGAATATTTTAAAGGTATTCTTACTTATTGAGAAATAAGGTTGCTAAACAATCAACGTTAAGGTTGATTACAAGCCCTACCGTTAATCAGCAACTAACTGGCTTACTAACCCTCTAGCTAACAACTAACAATCAACTAACCGACAAGCTGGTTAGAAACCAATTCACTCCCGGCACTCCGACCGTCATTAATATAAACCTTTACAGCTACTGGTAAGAGTCAGCAGAGGAGAGAGAGAGAGAGAGAGAGAGAGAGAGAGAGAAAGAAAGCAGTGACCATTAAGAAGTAAGGCCATAAAGCACAGCCTTAGGAGAGAAGCATTACGGACAGAAACTTGAAACTAACTCAACCAGTATATTATTCGTGTATCTTTATCATTGTTAAGAAAATTGCCAGAAAAGGTATTTTAGTTATTTAGAAAAAAATTCCTAAAACCATGGCATGCACACACTCATTATCATTGATATCGTATGAAATACAATTTTTATAAATATTTGAGCCGCAAAAAATTGTATATTATTTGTATATTATTTGTTAATTTAATTTAAATTTCGATGTAACAACTCGTAAAAAATATCAATCGATTTATTGAATTTATTATAAAAAATGACAGCATTCGATGAAGTATTTGTCGTCGATTTGTCAGACGTGAATTTTTTCTAACAACATAATATGCTTTAACGTATATTCCACTTGCTTTCCTTTGCTGCAAATTTGTAAATTACCTTTTCGTTCTAATGAAAGGGATATATAACTAGAAATGTAAAATATGCAGTAAGAAAAGTGATTTCATGAAGAAAAGTGAAATAGAATTTCGAAGAAAACGGAGAACAATAAATCTCAATTAATCGCAAATGGTGAGAAAACAATTGTGTTTGGTAAATATAATAATTTCATAAAAAATATAAATACGATTAAAAAGTATGTAACTAAGAGATTAGAATTGAAAACGATCGAGATGTAACAGTGACATAAAATAGTATTGGAAATTTATCAAATTTTATAAATCGATTAGTCAATTATCTTTTGAAATTCTTTTTTTACCATTTAAGTCAATTTAACCAAAACTTCAATGCTCTAAATTGTAAATTCTTCAAAACAATGTAACGTCATTTGATCGAATTGAGGGAATTAAAGATAAATTGTCAGGTTAGAAGTAAATAAAATGAGTTATAGAAGGAAGTTATTGCTTCAAAGTAAAATCACGTTCAAGCTGATAAAGTCCTCGCGAGAAAACTTACTTATGTGAGAAAAACGTGCAAGCTTAAAATTAGGTAAAGAGAGAAAAAAAAAAAATAAACTTGATTGATATTGGCAAGAATTTAATTTTAGGAAAATGAAAATCGGATCAGCGAGACAATTGAAGAATATCGTAAAATGATGGTTGAGACGAATGGGTAGAGATTTTGTACACGTGCAACTACTTTAACAAATGCTAATCACATAGTAATCAATTATCACTACGGATTTAAACATAATAGAGATTATAGTGCAAATAGAGCAAATGGTGATTATTTGTAAAGAGGCATGAAGACTAACGAGCAACGATACCGAAATTAATACCTTATTAATTCGTATAATAATAATAAAAACCTTATTAATAAATTAGTAAATGCTTTTATTATATTTATATCTAATATATGAAGTATAAGGTATATATAAATAAAAATAATATTATGCATATATTGAGTTTTATCTATTATAACTTTAATTTAAAGGATGAAACTCAACTCGAAAGATTGCTTTCCAGAATGACATCTCGGAAATGATTAGCGGTAGAAAAGAAAACTTTTGACAAAAATTGATATATCGATATTATTGATATTATTATATTATTGACCAAGAGAAAATCTATATATAATGCGTCATTCAACCACTTGGCATGTCCAATCATTGATGTACGTACGTTACATACTAGTTGTCGTCGTCAGTGACTTCCAACCAATAACCATATTTTATATAACAGGACGATAATACTATTCTACCCTGCTGAATTTTCACAATGGTTCTAACAGTTCCGTTGTAATTTCTATTGTATTCTAGATGGATTACCGTGCTTCTTCCGGAACCTAATTCTGCATATTGTTGCGTAATTTTCAATTTCTTCAACGCGGAATTTATAAGATCAAAGTATTCCGCGATCGAGAGTTCAATGTTCACCCCAGGAACCATTCTATGTTTATAATAGTGATAGACAGCCGCGAAATCGTCTCTAAAATATGGGTCGCATGTGAAATTAGAAATTTCTTTCAATAAATCTTTCCATGTAGCGGAGCATACTCTTTTTAACGTATCCATGTCACACGAGATAGGAGTAATACTTTCGCGAATGAAATAGCAATCGAAATCATCCATATCCAAACTTTCAGATACTTTTTCACCTACAAAAGTAGCAACGAACTGCGACACGCTAATGAAATTGATAAACGTAACGTCGTTCGGTTCCATATCAGAGAGTAGCATCACGACAATTTCGATTACTACGTTTAAATAACCAGCCAAATCTACGTTCTTGATCAATTTCTTTAAGGTTTGTTTGTCTTTCCTTGTGAGACCTCTGAAAGGATAACGATACTCAGCCTCACCCTTTGCACGAAATCGTATGTCGTCTAGAGATTTCACGCGGAATATTGCGAGAAACTTGATCATAAAAGGTTCCGGTTCAGACTCCTCGATTTCGTGTGCGTTCCTATCGTTCCAACCGTTTCCGTCTCCTCCAGGAGGAGGTCCACCTCCAGCGTGTGGACTATTCGATTTATTATTACGTCTTTCCCGTAACTTAATGCCGACAGTACCCTGTGAAAGATTTGTGAGCACAGTACTGGTTCCATAGAAAATCGTTGTTTTCATTATTTCTCTCGCTGCAGTTCCCTTAACAGCTGTGCCTATTGCTTCATTAATAACGCAGGATGCTGCCCCCCCTGCCAGTCCACCAGCGACATCACCGGCTATCATTAGAGTTCCTTGCATCAACGGTCCAATGGGAATTTTGCCTTCCGCAAGTTCCTCGCGAGCATCATTGACAACCGCGATTAATCCTTGGGGTTCACCAGTTACAAGAGTGGCGACGCCGTCTACGACGATACCGCCGGCTACGCCACCCACCGCCATTCCTACCGGGCCACCGGCGGCTCCGAGAGCGCCACCCGCCATCACTGCTCCCGTTCTAGTAGCTTCGTACATCGCCTGATTTCCTGATCTCAAATCGCCATCAATGTAATGACAAATAGCTTTTCCATGTCCCACGATTGGTATGGAGTTTATCATATCAAATGGAGAATACATTTTTCATTAGAATGTTCTTCAATTCTTACGTATATTTTTATGTGACTTGTATGTGACAAGTAATCACAGAAGTCGCTCGCACGTCTGAAAAGTAAGTACGAAATTGTTACTAATTTGTCATCATTTCAGGTGAAATACCTAATAAATGGACTAATTCCCATTGGTTAGATACCAGTGCATGTAATATTAATTGTTACGTAGAACGTTTGCTTAAGTATTTCCACCATTACTATCCCATACTTTCAGTGGCGATCATATCTGATTTGTCAAAAAATCTTGAAACCTTAACTGACGTTTATGCCCATATCATTAATATGTAATAATATGTAGCAATTAAGCCTTCGTAATACAAATATATTTGCCATTTTTTTGTATTGTGGCGCAAGCATGCGTTTAGGATTAGAAATGAAGTTCGACAATTAAAAGGAAATGAAAAATAGTTTATTATTCGAATGATTTGTTTGATTCTTTAGTTGTAATTTTCATAATTATATCGCGTAAAGTGATATGGTGGGAAAAAATTCTGAAATCTGACTTCTCTTCGTTAAATTCGGTATAATTGTCATTTCGATAAAATTTGGAATTGCAAATAGAATGTTAAAGGAAAGACCGGGAAGTGAAGTTGACTTTTCAATTGATAAGAGCTGAATATCAGCTCAGATGAACATGAATACTTAAAACCAAAATTAGAAATTCTATTATAGAATTTCGATTATAATTTTGTAATCAATTTCGAAATCTGAAGCATAGAATATAGATAGCATACTATATAGATATATACTATCTAAATTGAATTACTAGTTAGGTAATAACGGCTAATTATTATTTATTTTGCGATAATATAGTTTCTGATAATATAATATAACCTATCGTTAGATTTATAAAAAAGAATATTATGCTTTTTTAACTTAACATCCTGATAAATAAACTAAAGTAGTTGTAACACGTTTCTTTTAACGCGAAAACGAGTCGTTTTTGTGATACTTACTGATACAAAGTTTTCAAATTGAACGTTCGACGATATCAAAGTAGGTTTATCTGTCCCACCATATATGCGAAGACGGCAATCCATAGATCTCCAGATCGGATTGTCCTTCGTCCGAATCAGACGCGTCGTGCCACTTGGCAATAATGTCGTCCAGCACGTGGATGGATTCTCGTATGTCAACTCGGAAAAATTCGTTGGAAAGAGTCGAGGTACCGGACGGAAAATTGCCGTATATGTCGACCAAGAACTGTAGCGCTGATCTCTTTTTAAGGATAGAGCTGTTCAACCTGGTCCTATAGAGACACTGTTCCCTTTGAATGTTCCTTTGTAAAGGTTCGATAGCGTCTGCTACGAGATCACCGATTATTCTCTCATCTTCCGACGTGAATCGCAATGCGTGCAATCCTATTTCGAATATTAGATACAGCGTCTTCTCTGCCGTTGCGTGGCCCTTGCGAGCGGCATTCGGGCTATTATAGCCGACGCTTTTCAGTTCTTTCAAACTGCGGATTAGGCTTTGTATCAGTCGATCGGTGGACATCACAGTTGAATGTAGCGAATCTAGTGGAATACGTAGAAAAATGAAAAAGGTAAAAAAATGATAGCAGACATAAGAGAAAATAACAATTCTTCTTTTAGGTACTAGACGCAGAAAGTAAAGAATAGGTTTTTATCAAACATCTTTTTAATTAAATTTCCAAACCCTAATACGATATTAATATTGGAAAGGATTGATATTTAAACATTTCCTTTATATATTTAAGAACGCCAAGGTAATTTCAAAGATTCATCAGCATACTTGACTCGTTGTCAGCTACCTAAAAGGAAACTTCTTATATCTAGAAATTCGATAATTTAGAACACGTAGGATCGAATAATTTGGGTGAAGGAGAAATTGAAAGCTGACAAGCACATGCCAGCAGAACGATTATATTGGAATTAACGCGTTCGTTAACAAATCGGTGAACAAATTTTAACACAAAATTGTTATGTTGAGTCGAAAGGAAATTTGATATAAAACTTAATGCTTTATGTATGGAATTTTTTACTCAAAAGGAATGCTGCATTTATGAAAGATTAATACTATTAATACTATGAAAAATTAATAGATCGATACAATGATACTTGCAAATGTACAAGTTTTCTGAATGGCATACCAAATGAATATCGGATCATGTTTACTCATATTTCGATAATCGTTTATGCGTATTTCTTTTAATATACTCCTATGAAACAGAAGTAAAATTTACAGGAAGTTTTTGATAAAACGCACGATTTCGATTTAAAGTGGACTATCAAATGAAAACTCTTATATATAAAAGCAAGAGGTTTGTTTTTATGTTTAAAGTTAGGTAAGAGTTTTATAATTACATACTTGATGTTTGTATACTGTTATTAACTGATATAACTGATATTTCACCAAGGATTTATAGTCTAATATAATTTACAGTTGTTATATCGGCAAATAGAATGCGCGCATGTATAAGACTATACATGAATTATTTCTTTAATTCGAAGGAACTAGCCGATAAAATGGAATATTTTAGCCAAAACTGATTGATAGACTAGTTGCAACATTTTATTAACCAACATCGCCGAAACTAGAGTCGACCGGCTTATTTGGGTCCGATTTCGATCATTTCTTCACACGTTCCTCGAAATGACGCCTAATACAACGTATTTTAAGGCAATGAAAACCGGTAAGGTCAGAATACGGTAAAATTATAATTTTATAATTTTACTCGTTCTTACATATACGATGTAAGAACGAGTCTATACTTGCGCGTAAATTCTTTCAAATTCTTCAAGATCAAGGATTATGCCAAACTCCTATGCCGTGCGCGTGAGTGCAAATCAACTAACCATAAGCGTATCGTCCCTTACTTATATATCGGCAATGCGGCATTTTATCGTGCCGAGATGTACGATAAAACAGATATATGATAAGAACGAGCAAACTTTATTTCGCTCTATCATAGAAATTACAATGTATAACAGGATTTATTATTAATTCAATGTCGCATAAAAAAATATCAACTTTATCTGTAACATGATAAAGCGTGCAACATCAGCAGTAACAAAGAAGCAGTAACAGCAGTAACACCCTGCGCTGCTCCCTCGTAAACGAATATTTGGAGTGATATCATAGAAGACTATGATCACCCCACCTACACTGATGACCCCGACGTGATGTGCCAAGGGGTCCAAGGGGCCCAAGGGGTCCAGCAAGTGTGCAGGTGCTCCAGTCTAACAGAGAAGCTCAACGAAGAACGCACACAACCTTCAACGACCTGGAGTTGCGAGAAAAGATGGTCTTTTCTGGCACCTCTAGTGTAGTATTAGCTATAGGATAGCATATAAGTAGTTATAATCTAGTCATAAGGAGGAGGATATAAGTTAGACATAATACTGGCGACACAAGGATGGAAGAAGAAAGAGAAAAGAGGAAGGATATAACCACGACGTGAATCCCACCTAGGATGGCACAACAGCTAACAACCGAGCCTATCAAAGGGCGCAAGAATCATACTTGGCTCAAGGTTGCATCAGGCTACACCATCCCCTGGGACAGCCGAAGCTACGGCCACAAACACGTCGAGATTCGTAGTCCATCTCCTTCATCGTCCTAACTTCTCACATCCAGAAAATAGGTAACGTTTGTTAAAGTGGTGATCGTGCTTCGGTGCCTAGTGGCATCGGTACGGTGTTGGTATGCGTGTGGTGAGAGAGAAAAACAGTCGAATGTACGAGATTGAAGAAGCTACGTGCTCGGGTGTATGGTGCGAGTAGTGAGTGAGTGATATAGAAGAAAGAACCAAAGAATTGTTTGTTTATGTTCCTCCCACTTTATTAAAGTTATTAATTGTTTTCTTTTCTTTCCTTTGTTAACCCTTTGCACTCGAGAGGCGCCCTTCGGTCGCCATTTGATAAAATTTCGAAGCTCGATATTAATTAATATATGAAATTTAAAATAACGTAACAGTGTGCGAGGTATCGAAATTAAATAATTTCTTATTTACTGCTCAAAAAAATATCATCAGCTTTATAGCAGAAAATTTGTCAACTCGTACCCTTCTTTAGCCAAAACATCCTCGAGCGCAAAGGGTTAATAAATGTTTCTTTACTGAATAAGTTCAAGTATACCGAGTTACTCAAAACTTAATCTCAAACAACGTTATCACTGGCAGGGAGGTGATGTAGCGACCAAGTTCTCACCTTCGCCAATAGATGGATTCCTATTTGAAGAAGGTTCGAAGACTTTCTCGCAAGTCCTCGGTAAAGCCTCGACCTCCCTTATATAGAAGTTTTCTGTGCTACCCAAGTATTCCTGGTCTAAGGCAAGGTCTGGCTAGGGTAGCCTTTTACTAATGAGTCTGCTAGCAGGCCCGGGATGAAACCGCAGCATCCCCCTTCCTTTTCCCGTCGTCCTTCTATCTGCCACACCCTATCGATAGCAACAACAATCACCGGGGATCTACCAGCTCAGCACCATAGGAACACACAACACCGCCCGTCATCAACGTGGACAAAGAAGACAACTAACTACCGCACTTAACACAAACCTCCTCCTCTCCCTTGGAGACAGAGTATTGTGAGTGGGGTATTATCTACCAAGGCCTTAGATACTTGTTTTCGTATACATCGTTCAATTGTCACGATCATACGTTTAATACGCGTGTATAATGGATGTGGCCCGTAATTGTCAGCAAATATAGAAAATTCCGAAACCCGTTTCTTGTATTTCATCATATAACCGACTAAATGCCGATTAACTTTCGTTGAAAACATTGTTTTTGTCAAACTGTCGATAGTACTTGAAAAATTGAACGGATTAGTAGCAATTGTCTGCAATATCTCGGAAACTAGGATCGACTGGTAATTATGTTAAAGGGAAAGAATATCCAAAGTAACGCCGTTTCCAACATACATGTGTCAAGTTCATCAAAGTCGGTGAAAAAGTAGCAGTTCGATAAATTTACTATAATAAATATATCTCTACAACGGGCAAGAACAGGTTATTTGCCACCAAAACGGAAAGTTAAAATAATTCACAATAAATACATTTCATTTCCCATGAATTCGAGTTTAACGATATCGTCTGACTTACTTCTTATTCCTTCCTCGTTCCGTTTACTTTTCTCGTTTCTTCCATCCTTGTTATTTGCTCATTGCTTCTTCGCGACTGTTCCTTACATTTATATCCTATTGCAAATAATGGAAGGGGAAATCTGTATTTCATAGACTCCTAGTTCTACCTATCTAGTTCAACCACTCCCTCTGTAATCCGTACACTGATATCTTTAGCAACTCGTGTGTAATCAGTCACCTGATTTCTGTTACTAGTACAGTTATTGGTTTAATCTTTCATGCCTCAAGCCTCATGACGAATATCGAGAGTTCTTCCTGCTGCGCGCTACCCTTTTTAACAAACTCTTGTTCGTAAAAGAAGCTTCCCTCTTTACATTTCAAATTTCAGTGCAAAATGTTTCAAAAATTTATTTCATTTCTTAAATGTATTTTTCAAGATTTCTAAATAACTGTAAAACGTATTGTCCGATTTCGTAGTTTTTCAAGTATGTCACCGGTAATTTTTCTAGATAGTAATTTTTGTTTTTTGAAAACGAGTCGTCTGTAATCGAAATTGCTCTATAACGCTCACTTTCCGAACAATGCACACGATTTTCGGCTGAAACGAAGGATTACACGATAAGTAGAAAAGCTAACCTAAACGCTAGGTTAATTCTCATCTAAAAAATGAAGTAAGAGTTGTCCGACTTTCTTTTCTCCAGCAGTTTCTCATAACTATTTAGGTATGAATTTAAAAATAATATGCTTAAATAATACCTATACACTACGTTTGGCATCACCGTCGTATCACGTTATTCGATAACACTCAAATATGAGCATATTTAGGAAAGCTATTATAAATTCGTAAACAATTGCGCTTATTATTTAATAAATTTATACCAAAAGATATTACCTTATATCCACTGTATTTTTTTCTAATATGCGACTTTTCTAAATATATCTTCTTTGAAATGCTGATTGTTGTAATAAATACGCGTACTGTTCGCATGGAAGCTCACTCGCAACTGTTTGCTTCTCTACGCTACGCGGTCCTTTTTGCGGTTGTTTTTCACGAGGTGGTACCAACTAGCGAGTGTCACTCATCCCTAATATGGTTATCAACCATCATCACTGATGATTTCTCAGTGGATGTTGTGATATTTTCTTCTTTTCCTTGGGTACTTGTATCGACGCCATTTAAATCGTTAAAAATCGTTAAAAATTATCGTTAAAAATCGTTAAAAATCGTTAAAAATCGTTAAAAATGGTTAAAAATAATGGCTAAATACTATTCTAACACGCGAAATATCACTTGTAAGATGCTCTACAATATTATTCTTATCTTCATTTTCTATTTTTATCCCTAATTGTTTATCTTATCTCGTTGTGCAAAAGCAAACATTCGTATTGAGATTCTATAGATGTACAAAGTTTTTTAAATGGGCATATTTTAATAATCTTGATTCCATGTAATTTACCATGTGTACTACCATGCTACTTGATCTTATATAGATGTTAGCGATGCTGGTATCCTTTCTAAAACCATGGATTGCCTATACAGAAAGCAGTTGGTAGATATAGTTGGGTTTCTTGTTTTTGCAAGAGTAATAGGTCGTTCCATCGTAAGAGATGCTTCGTATCATTGACAGAGCATCATCCGTACAAATTCCTACTAATATTTACAACATACAATGTCCTAATAATATTTGAAACTCTCCCAAACGTCTCTCCCAATGACGGAATGGAGTAAAGAACATCTTACCTTGTTATAAGTTCTTTCCAACATAGAAATTGAGAAATCGCTATTGCATTTTCATAAATAAAACGAACGAATCTTAGAACATAAGCTGCCGCTGATGTCAACAGATTCGTCAACTTGTAAATAATTTGTTCAGCATCGTATTTTCCTTTATTGCGAATAATAAATTTGTCCGTTGTGCATTATCGCGTGGAGACCGTTAAGCACAAGAAAGTACAATTGTGTGCAACACATGTTTTTTCTTATTTTTACAATTGAAAGCAACGAGAAGAGAGGTAGAATCGTGAGAGCAACTACACACCATCCGCTCCGAAATATCCAATCTGCACGGACCGTGGTCGTCCTTCTGTATACAAAAAGGACCAGTCTGCTGCTGTGATGGTCGCTGGAAGAGGCACAGACCTGGGGGAAGCCTACAGGAGGTTATGGTAACTTCACTGTAAGTTGCAAAATCCTTCGCATTCGCTGAGCCAGAAATTGATATCGTCTCCTTGGCCATACTGGATTGTTATTACGCGTTCGAGAAGAGATGGCACAGCGTGTTTACATCCTCGTGGCTGAGTGACTCCGCTGACACTCCCTCGATCAACGGCAGCGACCAAATGCTCCCCTATTGACCGAATTGACCGAAGGGTGACGAAGACAATCGGCCGGCCGTAGCGAGACCGAGTGAGGTGAAATATGGCAGCATTAACTATGAGAACCTGTCAGAGAGGATTGCCACTAGTCCCGCTGTCCGTGTTGCTACATCGCGACGAGGTCTTTGCGAGAATTTCCTAAGGAAACTCGGTGATGGTGCGGTGTGTTACGTTTCACTTAATCACGCATTGCGCGAAAAGTAACCGAACAGGGGGATTTGAACGTTGATGATACAGCAAGGGGCGAGACTATGCCTGACTGGACGGCGGAGCTGGGACTCCCGCTGCGGAATCGGAACGAATGGCGAGATCGTACGCTTGGTGGAACAGGTGGACGATTGAAGAGCAGTCGTTGGCTAGAGAGTAGCAGAGGAGGTGGAATCGCAGAGCAACCACCTTCGTATTCTAATAGATAGAATCGTCCCGCGGAACGAATGTGCCTCTCACCGCTAAGGTGGAATGCTTCGGCGCCTGTACCAGAATACCGTTATGCGTACCGACAAGTAACATCTATCTCTCGGTCTATCTTTCCTGCCCCAGAGCTACATATACCCACAGACCATATGTCCAAATCGCTTCTATTTTTGCTTTCAGTCTATTCGATTCGTCAACCACGTTTTTAAGACTTGTTATGACATCAGTGAGCAGATTTAGTATTTGCGTGAACGATAACAATATATCTGTATCACTTGCAAACGTTTAGAAAGTCTTATCTGCTAGAATATGTATATCTGCAGTATAGAGGGTATATAAGTTAACAAGGAGAGTGCAAGCCCTTCGCTTCATCGATTTAACTGAAACTTTGTAGATTTGTAGATTTCGTCATGCAGTTCAAGAATATATACCATTATACCCGCCACTACTCGATAGTTTTTGAGATATTTACGATTAATTAATTGCATCTCTAGGACCGAACGTGCCAAGTCCATTGTTACCGTTCCTTCACTCGCGGACACTCGTCACCCAGCCACCACTTGGATTAACCTTAGCAAGGGTCAATCACCATTGAGCCGATGGGCATAATGGCTAATTTGTTTAAACATCAACCACCGCCGAAATACGTCGACGCTGTTACACACCCCCAACGTTATTCGCAATCAATAGAAGAGCACAGCACGCACCTACCACTTACGTTTCGCACCAACCGATCAAAACACATTCGAATTTATAAAACCACCGAAGCAGAAGTTTTCCCTCAAAATCAAAGTCCACTAATCAGGTTAGTCCTAATCAGGTCTAGTTCGATTAACTTACAACTTGTTAGAGTAGGCCGTATCCCTTCGACATTGTCGCGTCAGCGTAGCGGACCTTACAACCCCGCGAAACTCCGAATCCTCCGAATCCGTGAGTTGCAGTGTTTGGGACGCAACAGAGGACTCTACAGATTTGTATGTTCATTTCGTAAATTAACAAACAATTCCTATTGGTTAAGCGTGAGTTTAGAAGATAATAAAATTTTCGAAATCAGTGGAATCCTAAGTGCCGTCGCCTTAATTCGAATCGAATTCGAAATCGTGTCAGGGAACACTCGAAGCGATAAAAAGAAATTTCCTAAAAATACACAATGACTCGCTCGCGATCTGGTTGAAATAGAAAATTCCGATGATCGAATTGTTCTAGCACCGAGGATTTGGCAGTTGGAAGACCGCAACGGCGTCTTGCAAGTCTGCTTTTATTCTTCGACGGAAGACGACATTATCTTGTACGGTATTTGGCGGTATTCGTTCCTTCGTGTCGATGGGAGCAATCTGAGGGTAACGTGAGAAATGAAAGTTTGACAAATTTCAACCAGCCTTTTCATATCGACGATTGTCAAGATCGATCGCAATAGACACGAATTTCAACATTTCCGTTCTGCGAGTATAGGCGGCTCTTTTACGCAAATTTGAAAACTACGTTTTAGCATAAGCGAGGAAAATGTAAAATCTTGCCATGTTAACCCATTTGCATCATTCTAAAAAGCGGAAAATTAGCCCATATCGCTACAAATTTTTGTTTTTTTTTTTTTATAAAGATGAAAATATCTCAAAATAAGGAAGAAATGGAAAAGAAAGGAAAAGAAAAATGGTGTACGCAAAGAATTTATAATTTAATTTAGTTGAATGAAGTTATACGTTGAAAATAATTTGAGAAATTAAATTTAATAATTTTACACGATACGATAGTAGTTGAAATGGTCAATACATATAGCCATATTGTATGTATTGCAATGATAAAATGAATCTTTTTTTGTGACAAACAAACTACA